ATGTGCAGTCATATGTGCATGTATGTAAACATTTCTCTGAAGTTTGGAGCAAGAACTATAATTTACATGCATATTAATGCAAGCAGAAGCCCCCAGGTGAACCCGGAAGTTTGTTTTTACACCCATCGCATTAAGGAGGTTCTGCCAAACTAATTGCATTTATTCATGAATTATTCACGCCGATAATGAGACTTAATATGGTCATCTGCCTGTTCTAATAAATCAGCATAACACTTTATTCCATTCGATTCATTCAATTTTATTTATTATTATTATTATTATTTTCTCGGTATAACAGTTGTGTGAGGTTGGTTATGCTATACATCCAGGAGGAGGCATTCCTATTTAATAGCAATTGGGGTGCAACTTCCTTAATATGTGACGTCCAAGGAGCCGCGATCAGCGCGCATGCGCGGCCAAGCGGAGCGGCAGCCGCAGCACGGAGCAGTGTGCGAATCAACAGCAGACATGGCAAGAGATGGCGAAGGACGCGAGCACACCGACACCATGCACTACTGAAGGGACGGGGGCCATAACATTTCAAAAAAAATACAAAACTTTATAAAACCGAAAAAGGAAAGAAAAAAAATCAGAAAAGAACGCAAAGAAAATTAATCAAGATAACAACAGAACTTTTCCAATGAGAGCAATTCTGTGTACACTGCTCCGCTATATCAGATAGATGATTTGTCCACACGCTTGCACGTATAATGAACGCCCAGCTGTCGATGGAGAACATTGGCGATCTGCACGGAGTGAGCCATGAACCGGTCCTAAGCGCGGCGGATTTCATGACCGGAGACAGGAGCCATCGGAGCAGTCTGTCAGCCCATGCGCGCTCCATGGGCATGGCATCAATCCTGGACAGCGGCGACTATCATCACCACCGGCCCCCGGAGCACCCCGGGCTCGCCACGCACCTGCACCCGGCCATGAGCATGGCGTGCGACGCTCCCCCCGGGATGAGCATGAGCAGCTCTTACACCACCCTCACCCCGCTGCAGCCCTTACCGCCCATCTCCACCGTCTCCGACAAATTCCCGCACCACCATCATCACCACCACCACCATCATCACCCGCACCAAAGGATCCCGGGGAACGTCAGCGGGAGCTTCACCTTGATGAGGGACGATAGGGGTCTGGCCCCGATTAACAACCTCTACTCTCCCTACCACAAGGATGTGGCCAGCATGGGACAGAGCCTATCGCCGCTGTCTGGATCCGGACTGAGCGGCATTCACAACTCCCAGCAGGGGCTGCCGCCCTACGCGCACCCCGGAGCCACCATGCCCGCCGAGAAGATGCTCACACCCAACGGATTCGAGGCACACCACCCCGCGATGTTGGCTCGATGCGGGGAGCAGCACATGAGCGCTTCTTCGGCGAGCATGGTGCAGATCAACGGCATCCACCATCATCCGCACACCCATCTCAACGTCCAGGGCCACGGGCAGGTGCTGGGCTCCACTCGGGAGCAGAACCACTCATCCGCGCCCGGATCGCAGCTCAACAACGGCAGCAGTTCGGGACAGATGGAAGAGGTCAATACCAAAGAAGTGCGCCCTACGCGCCCCCCGGAGCCACCATGCCCGCCGAGAAGATGCTCACACCCAACGGATTCGAGGCACACCACCCCGCGATGTTGGCTCGATGCGGGGAGCAGCACATGAGCGCTTCTTCGGCGAGCATGGTGCAGATCAACGGCATCCACCATCATCCGCACACCCATCTCAACGTCCAGGGCCACGGGCAGGTGCTGGGCTCCACTCGGGAGCAGAACCACTCATCCGCGCCCGGATCGCAGCTCAACAACGGCAGCAGTTCGGGACAGATGGAAGAGGTCAATACCAAAGAAGTGGCACAGAGGATCACCACGGAACTGAAAAGATACAGCATCCCGCAGGCTATCTTCGCCCAGAGGGTACTGTGCCGCTCGCAAGGGACGCTTTCGGACCTGCTCCGGAACCCTAAGCCCTGGAGCAAACTTAAGTCTGGCCGGGAAACCTTCCGCAGGATGTGGAAATGGTTGCAGGAGCCTGAGTTCCAGAGAATGTCCGCGCTCAGGCTCGCAGGTGAGAGAACAATAGGTAATACACTTCTCTTATCCTCAGTAAATCACTCTCATTTAATTTCCTTCAAAAGTAATTCACGAGTGACCAGCATTCTTCGGTTTTGCGACGCTTTTTGGAGGTTTCCTACTTAGCTTACTTTTTAGGTTGTGTGATTTTATTCCGTGCTTGTTGTGCTACTTTAATTTTTACTGATACCTTCAAACTTGAGGTAGCTTTCTCGATGTATAATATTGACCGCCTAGGTAAGGTTATCCAGCGCAATGGATTTGTTTTGTTTTGCTAGTTTGTTTTGGGCTATTTGATGGTGATTTTACATGCAGCCTGCGGGGCAAACAGAAATAGTTTGATCAGAAATGTCTCGAAGCCTCGGTGGCCACAGTCCCATTGTATCTACGTGAAAACGGACGCAGTGTCCCAGTGTCCACTTGTCTTTGCAATACGTTTATGACCACTGATCGACTTTTTTATTTTTGAAACATTAGCCTACTGCATGTTTTGGCCAAACCCAGTCACATGTCTCGTGGATATCTTTTGTTTTTGAACTAGTGTGCGTAACGTGTTCGATGTGTGCGCACTACTGAAATGGGCTCTGAAAACGTGTCGCAGTGTGTGTTTGGGTTTGTAAGAAAGGGACATGTTTTATTTCTTCAGTCTTCTCATTGTTGGATCTCTTCATCTGTTGTCCAGCTCCAGTGACGTGTTCTCTGTGTAGGTTTTCTTAATTAACTGATTGAGGCTCCATTAATTTGCCTCACGAGAATTAGAATCAATTGGCGGGCGGCTTTGGGGGCCACTTATCCGTTCAAAATCAGCAGTGAACAAAAAGAGAAAGCATCTCAAATGCGAGTGTCTCTCTTTTTTTGCACCACTTCATCATAAATGTCATTACAAATATCATAGTAATTCATTTATGCACATGATGGGGAAAATACTTTGAAACAAAATGTTCTTTCCTGAAAATACTTTTCATGGCAAAATCTTTTTTGTCTATTGTACATACGCTCTCTCTTTATGTGTCATTGTCTTCGATTTTGTACATAGCCTACTGATTCGTTTACTCTTTGTTTTACTCTCTTACGCTCGATTTCTTTTCTCTGTATCGAAGTTTCGTTTTTATTATTAATATCAATGTCAGGGTATTATGCAGTCATATGCGATATGTACACTGATGCTGGGCTGGTGTTTGTTTGGTTTTGTTTGATTCAGATTCGGCCTTGCTCTGTTATGGATTTTTGCTCCACGTTTTTGTATCATTCATAGTAAAGGTCAAAATATGAATTTACATCATACCATTTTATTTCCTCACGTTTCTGTTTACATGTTTACATTCACATAATGTATTTTCATATGTTGTATATTTGTTTTTCTTTTGGTCGAAATAAGCTATAAAAAAAACATCTGTTTAATCTGTTCTTGCATTATTATTATTATTATTATTACTTCTAATTACATTACAGTTAGATTTAGTTTCTTTTGGTTTAGTGCGATTATTTTCTTATTCCGTTAAAGTTAAGTGACACGTGGCCAAGTATGGTTACCCATACTCGGAATTAGTGCTCTGCATTTAACCCATCCTAAGTGCACACACACAGCAGTGAACACACACACACAGTGAACACACACCCGGAGCAGTGGGCAGCCATTTATGCTGCGGCGCCCGGGGAGCAGTCGGGGGTTCGGTGCCTTGCTCAAGGGCACCTCAGTCATGGTATTGAAGGTGGACGAGAGCATTCACTATTCACTCCCCCCACCTACAATCCCTGCCGGTACGAGACTCGAACTCGCAACCTTTGGGTCCGACTCTCTAACCATTAGGCCACGACTTCCCCCTGTTATATTGAAGTTATATTGAAATTAGTGAAGGTTCCAGACACTGATGTATATTATTGATTGAGTACACATGGTTGAGGGTATGTGATCGGCCTACTGAGAGGTAAATATAGAATTGGTATATTGATTATTCAAATTCAGTTCCCTTCTCCTTTTCCTTAGTAATGTAAGACAGTAGACCATTCAGCAGTCTTTCACATCACTGCTCTTTTACACACTTGTGATTTTTATGCCGTGAATTTGTCATTCACGCTTCTATATTCAACTGTATTTTGCCTCAACTCTTTATATTTATATTTTAGCATATGTTTGCTTGTGATGAGGACTTAGTATATTGTTTTTTAAAAAGTGATCCTAGTCTAGTTTTATTAGAAAAAGTGAAACTAGAAAAAGAAACAGAAAACTGACATGCAATATTTTTTATTCATACCTAAATAATTAGAATTTGCGTAATTTTGTAATAAGATAATAAATGAAAATAGCATTGATTTTAACAAAATGACATTCTTTAAGCTTTTCGTTGATAGTCGTTAATAATTTTGCGATCGGCATTATTTTTGGAATAACTTTACCTAAACTGAATTGCTGTAATAATTTCTGTGTCTTAAAGAAATTAATGTATTCTTATAAAAAAATAGTTGGCCAAAGAATCAATACGGAAGTATATCAAATAATATATTACAAATTGTCTAATTTTACGATCTAAACATTCATCTAAAAGCCAAGAGCATTTTATTCAGGTAGCTATATATAGTCTTTTCAAACTATATCTGAACCCAAATGTGCATGCGGCTTCGCTAAACACCATAACTAACTTTAAATCAATAACTATAATAATAATAAATTATCATTAAATCCTAAAATGCGTAACAGACCAGTAGTTGATGTACATCTAAATAGGAGTATAACGAAACGGAATATATTTCATATCTATTCATATACCATATATAGCATACGTAATCCGAACTTCTCATCTTTTATTATAATTGCATAGGCTATGCTACATATGCTATGATTATATGTTAGCCTAAATAATGTTTGCTAACGTCTTTTTTGGCCTGAGCGTATATGGTTCTGTTTTGTTGCTGAAGCCACTGTGAAATGAGTGACCGACTTATCTGGCGCCTGTCTAATGATTTGCAGACAAACAGCACCTATATGTGATGATCAAATGTACTGAAGGATAAAGAGGTTCGCAGTTATTTCCCTGGCAGTCTGCGTGGGTCTCGTCCAAGTGGCCTTGTGCATGGCCACAGTTTTGATTTATGACACATGATAGCAAACTCATTTGCTTTTTGTTAATATTTACCCAAAGTTTCAAACCCCGCGTGCATAGTTTTGTTCTTCTTTTACACGACTAGACTCTACATTAGTTTATTCACGTTATACCTCTTTGTATCATAAAGATATACACTATAGGCGAATACAAACTGTTAGGATATTTATTTAAAAATGGATTTAAATAATATAAATATTTGAATAATATTTTAAAACATATGAATATCAAATATTCAAATGAGTTTTTCTTGTCTAAGCTACTGCATGTAAAAAAGTCGATGTGAATGAACGATATAGAACTGAGAGGCAGAACTGTGATTTACATTTTAATGACAAATTTATTTAAGAAATATTGCCTGTAGACCAAATGTTCGTTCGCGCGTGTGTGCGTGTGACGGTTCAAGTAAATAGGCCCTACATGCTTTTTAAGCGGTTTCGCACAGTCTTTTAGCACCCCCTTGTGGTTTCCTAAATAACAGTTATGCCGCCCACTAGGATTTTACGCGCACAAAGACAGAAAACATCAGTAGGCCTTTTTATTCAAAATGACTGCTTAGTTTCTTTAAACAAGTGTTTTTTTGTTTATTTGTTTTTTCATTGGCAGTAAGTGATCATATTGGTTGTGATAGTGTATCTGCAATGCATGTGGTTGTATTTAAGCACCATGGACAGTTCCAGAGATTTTATTCATATACACTCTAAAAATGCTGGGTTGTTTCAACCCAATTTTGAGTGAAATATGGACTAACCCAACTGTTGGGTTAAATTTTGGTTACATTTTTAAATTAGCTTTTTAACCAAACAGTTGGGTTAGTCCATATTTGACCCAAAATTGGGTTGAAACAACCCAGCATTTTTTAGTGAACATGAAAATGACAATACAAAACCCTCCAAAAAGCATCAGTGTTTCTGTTTTGTTTTGTCTATTCCATGTTTTTGACTGATTTACTTTAAGAACCATTTCAGTAAATCAGTTACACTTTATTTTCAGATGTACTTGTTATATTGTAAGTATATGTTTAAGTACAGAGTAATATTAATTGACAATATGTACTTACTCTAGGGTTAGGGTTAGGAATAGGGTTTGGTTTAGGGTTAGTTGCATGTAATTATGCATAACTTACCTTTTAATACTATAGTAAGTGCATGCAATATGTAACAAGGACACTGTAAAATAAAGTGTTTCCAAAAACTCACACCGTGTCATGACATATGAGTCTGTGTCGTTAGGCAATTATGTCTGACTTTTTTATGTCAACCTTTTGTTCTTTCAGCATGCAAGAGAAAGGAGCAGGAGCATGGTAAAAGCGAGCGAGGGAGCATCTCCAAGAAGTCCCGGCTGGTCTTCACTGATGTCCAGCGTCGGACTTTACATGCAATATTCAAAGAGAACAAGCGCCCATCCAAAGAGTTACAAATCACCATCTCTCAGCAGCTGGGCCTGGAGCTCACCACCGTCAGCAATTTCTTCATGAACGCGCGTCGACGGAGCCTCGATAAGTGGCTGGATGACTGCAGCTCCAACTCGGCCAACTCCTCCTCCTCCAGCACTTGTACCAAAGCATGATGGAGTAGTGGCTGCATTATGGGAAAAAAAGGAAAAAAAAACTTCGGTGGAAAAGCTTTAAACAAAGAAAACGAGACAATTTTAGACAGCGTTTGCCCTTAAAACTTGTACAGTACCGATATTTATAATATCCAAAGAAAAACACCAAAGACTGCTTTGACGCCTATTTAGGACTTTCTTCGTTCATGTCAGACATTCTGCAAAAAAAAAAAAAAAAAAAAAG